GTGCAAAAGACTTAATCTGCTACAAATAAGCAGTTAAAGCGTGTGTATTCTTATCAGAGTGTACAGCATTTTTCATTGCATATTGTTATGCTGACAGCTGTGTGTTCCAGTTTCACAGATCTCTGTTTAGCTCACTACTTGGGTGGGGTAGTATTTTTCTAGGTTTATATTTCCTTGTCTAACTTTTTAATCTTCTTCAAAATCACATAGTAGAAAACAAAGTTATCCACCTGCTTTTAGGGGGCAAGTTCTCTGTTTCCCTTCAAGCTGTGTTAGGGCCAAACAACATGTTCGTGTTTGTAAACAGAGGATCTTCACAGCCAGATAGGAGCTGAGGAGAATTGCTTTGAAAAAAATTAAGAACAACCCCAAATGGGTTTGGAATGCTACTGTGGGGGGAGGACAGGTTCCAGCCTCCTGTCCCCCAAGCTGTTCACACAGACACAGAGTTGGAGGGGGGGGGTTACATACCCATTTCTGCTACTCTACGAAATTCCACCAACTCCAGCTTCACCCTTTCCTTTACACTGTGATGTGAAGAACTAGGCCTAATGAAATCCTTCATTCTTCACTGCTCCTTTTTATGTTTTTCATTTTTGAAAAAAAATTTAATACATTTTCTCAATTTCTTTCACAAATACATTTAAAAATATATATCCACTACACCCTCATAGTTAAAATAGAAGTACTCTGAAATAAATGTGTTCACTGAAATGGCAATCCTATGAAAGCTTTCTTGGGAGTAAGTCCCACTGAGTAACATGGGGCTTACTTCTGTGCAGACCTGTTTAGGATTACTCCCTAAAACACCTGTTAAAATTATAGGTAGAGATGTGAAGGCCACAATAATTTCATTAAACTTTTTCCCCAATTGAAAAACTGGAAAATTGAGGAGGACTGAAAGAACTTCTATGAAATATTTTCTCTCTTTTAGGATAAATGAAATGCTTTTAAAGATAAGGTTTTATTTACCCAAAGTATGCAATATGAAGTTAGAGAAAACAATCTACAGAATTAGGAATCGATAATTTCTAAGCATACTGTAGACAAAGACAACATATTTTTCAGGACTTGCTCATTGTTTAACTATGACAATTCTATACATACTATAATGTGTGTGATAATACAGTATTGAAGAGTTTGTTTTCTACATTATATGGTTTGATTTGATATTCAAATATGCTGCTAGTTCTGCTTGTGACTATGAGACCGTTTATATACAATCACACACTTCCTTTTGTCTACCAAAATGTTTTGTCTTCTAATTTCAACTTTCCTGCCTGTTTCTCAGATGGTAAAAGCAAAGATAACATATGCTAATGTAGCACACAGTATAGTAGTTTGTAGCTCTCTTTATTAGTGCGTAAAGACCACCAACTTCCCTATGAACCTACTCGGCTACTATAGGAACCTTCAGGGATCCTGTTTTGGGTGCCCCTATCATCTGAAGCTCAATGGGATGCAACCCAAGAAAGGACCTTCTCAATCATGGCACCAAAATTATGGAATTCCCTCCCAAAAGGTATTAATCTGTCCTCTTCTATCATTGTCTTCAGCGAACTGGTGAATACTGTTTTTGTTTGGCATCCCCTAACAGATATGGTCACTAGCTCCAGCTTGGGAAATTCCTGGAGACTTGGGGGTGGAACCTGAGCAGGGTGGAGTTTGGAGAGGGGAGGGACTTCAGTGGAGTGTACCACCATACAGTCCACCCTCCAAAGCAGCCATTTTCTCTGTAATCTGGAGATCAGTTGAAATTCTGGGAGATCTCCTGGCCCCACATGGAGGTTAGCAACCCTACTAACTGACCTTCCTTCCTGTTAATTGCTTACTTACAAGATTTGTATGACACCTTTCTGCCTGATCAGGGCAGTTATGTTTCAGTGTGTGTGTGTGTGTGTGTGTGTGTGTATATATAAAATACAAATCTTGTAAGTAAGCTTTAATGTTTAGGTTTGAAGAGACTTCGGTGAGTATATTTGGCACAATACCAATAATAACCTCCCTAAGATTTTTAAAATGGTAGTTTCAGTCTTCTGTCCTCCATATTGAAGGACGATGCTCTGATCCAAATTTCCACTTTATTGATGTACTGATGCAAACTTGAGGAATGGCAGAGAAGTCCAACTTGGTTTTTGTGGACAACTTGCATCCATAATAAATTTTCAAGTGTTTTCTCAGTTCAGAAAAAAATGACAATTTGAAGGCAGACATCTGCCAGCTCAGCGGTGCTCAGTTAATTTACTAATAGTCCTGCTAGATATGATGGTGTCATTGTGGCCACCACAAAGAAGCCACTGCCATTTTAAAGTCACTTAAACATGTCGTGAAGCTTTGATCCTAATTGGTCCCACAGGATAGTACTCTTGTTGCCATACTCCCTCATTGTCCCTCAGTGGCCATCAATCACAAGCAGTGAGGAGTCCAAGTCATTCAAAAATAGATTGAATAAATAGGGTGCCAAAATGCAGCCTTGTTTGACTCCTCCGTTTGTAAGGATCTTAGGTGTTAGTGAGCCTGAGTTTCTGTATCTTACTTGGCAGCTAGTAGTATAGTTTCCAGATTAGGAAGCGTAATCGTTTATCTATTCCCATCCTATTCAATTTAACCCGTAGGAGATTCCTGGGGATTGAATCAAGGGCCCCTTTAAAGTCAAGGGAAGCACAGAATAGTTTTTTACGGGCTACTCTTGGAAATTTCTCCACCAAATGGGCGAGAGTTACGCAATGATCTAATGTTATGCTGCCTGTACAGAAACCAACCTGCTCTGCTCCCAAAAGGTTTTGATCTGCAATCCAGGTGGTCAATTTATCTGACAGATGTCTAGCATAAAACTTGCCCACTATTGAAAGCAGGCTTATTGGGCGGTAGTTTCCTGGATAATTTGGGTCCCCTTTTTTGAAAATTGGAACTACAATAGTATTTGTCCATAAAGCAGGCATGGTCCCTGTTTTATCAGAGTAAAAAGGGTAGCCAGAGGGGGAACCCACCAGTCTAGGTGGTCTTTAAACAACTCGGGTGGGAATCCATCTGAGCCTGGAACCTTTCTAGCCTTTAATTTATTTATTAAGCTTTTAATTTCAGTTGGACTAACTGGTGCCCATTCGGGCCAATCAGGGGGAGAAAAAACTTCTTGTTGCTCAGATAAATCTGTGGAAAAATAAAAAAAGATGTTTAAGAAATAGTCTGTCCAGGTCTGGGAAGGTATGGGGCAGTTAGGGGATGAAAAATCACCCCTAAATTCTCCAGCTACCATAGCCCAGAATTGTTTGCTGTCCCTAGATAAAGATGCCTTGATTAGTAAGTCCCATTTCCTGTTATGTTTCCAGTGGGCTAGGCAGAAGCTTCTAAGAAGCCTAGAAGGAATGAAAGTAATTTTCCTATTGCTTCCCCTTCTGCAACAGGCTTTCAATGGTAAACAACCTCTGGACATGGAGGTTCCATTTAGTCTTCAATTATCTTTCTGAATAAGTGGGCAAAGAGAGCTGCTAGTATCACTTCTATTCAGGCTTAAGTCGCTAAGAACATTTATCCTTGTTACTGGAAAGGGGTGCAACAGCAAGAAGGAGAACTGAATTCCAAAACTGCCAGTCCTTTTAGGACTGGTGGCCTCTAATAATACATTTAGGCAACAATGACAAGCTCTAAAAATAGACCAGCCAAGAGAGTGTTATGCACAAGTATAGGTTGATGCCTGCAATTTCCAGGAGGCTGTGGAACCACTTGTATAATATTGACAAGGCTGCTTCGCAGTTCAGTCTAGGACTAAACTTTATTTGCATTTTGGTCAATCATATTTACTTGAAAGTAGAGTTCAGTGAAATTTACTAACATGTACATAAATTAAGGTTTTTAAGCACAGCAGCCCAATCCTATAAATTTTACTCAGTGGCGAGTACTGCATTCAGTGTTCCACATGACATTGCCTGCCACTGTTTCTCACAATAAGCATGTATAGAGACAAGGGGTGACATAGTCATAAACATTTGCTCTGGGCAGCCCCAGTACATTCATAACACACACACATGCCACATAAACTTTGAAGCAGGTAGCTCAGTTCTGTGGTGCTAACTTCCTATTAAGGCTAGGCAACAACACAAACTTCCTTTACCAGCAAAATATTTTCAAGCAGGCAAAGCTAGGATACTTGGCAGTTACTTGAAAGTAAATCCCACTGAAGGTAAAGGGACACAGGGTATATGAGGTTACACCATAAACATGTTAAAACTGCTACCGAACCTTACTTTCAGAGAAAGTGTGGAGAAAGCTGCTATCTTCTACAGTTCCTGATGGTAGCTCAATAAGGATATAGATATATAGAGATATTGAGATATATAAAACAGGGCTGAACAGATGCACACTAAGACTGGGGCACATACCAAGGGGACTCAAAGCTGCTTACTTCCAAGTAAACCCGCTAAGTGACTCTAAGCGTTTACTTTCACATCGGTGTGTTTTGGATTTCATTAATGATCCTGTGCACGCGCCCTCAGTTTTCTGGGGACCAAACACACGCAGGTAGCATCACACTCATTCCTATGTAAACTAGTTAAAAGTCAATCCCACTGAAGCCAACAGCGATGTATTCTAGCCTAGGGCAAGGACTGCTCCCCTCCACCGCCACAAATCCCGCCCAACGGCTGCCCCCTTGCCTATTGCCCTCCCTCATCAGCCCAGGCTCGGCTTCCCCGGTTGTCAAGCGAAGCGCGCGCCTGCCCCTGGCTCCGTTACTTGCTCTCTGCTCCCCCAGCTAATCAAGGCTTCGCGGCGTGCGGTGCCGGCTGCCTCCTTTGCAACTCGGCACCCAGGAGCATTGCAAAGGCAAGCAAGAGGGCGAAGCGAACAGAGTGCTCCTCCGCCCGGGCTCGCTTTCTGGAGACGACGAGATGCTCCTCGCAGGAGGCAAAAGAGTGTGGGCCGGGGAGAGTCAGCGGCGGCGCCCTGCATTGCAAACTGCGAGGCAGACTGCAAGGCAAAGGGAAGAGAAGCGAGCGACTTACAGTAAAGCGAGCCCAAGAAAGCGAGGAAAAGCAGCAGGACGCGGCGCCTCGCCATCTTCACAGCAACAGCTGCTGTCCAAAGGCAGGGAGAAACTGGCGTTGCTCCCCGCATTAGAGCGGTGGGTGGGAGAGCTGGACGCTCCTCCCGTTATTCGGGGTTTTTGTACCTCGGGGAGGGGGGACTTCCTTTCCAATAGTCCGGGCTAAACGAAGAGCCGAGATTTCCGTTGGCTGGAGTTAGCGGCACCAAAGTCAAGGGAGGGTGGAGGAATTCCAAGGGAGCGCTTCAAGCCTCCTCCTTTGCGTGTCAGTAAATGTTCCCATTAAGTCGGAGGCTATTGCCAGCTTCTTCAACCTAGAGGCAAGCCAGAAGCAGTAGAGAAGGAAGGGATTCAGCCGGGAACGGAGTGAGGAGCGACGTCCCCCCCCCCATCAGCCCACAAATCTCGATCAGCATCTGCCTTTCCCTGGCATTAGTCGTGATGATGACTATTATTGATTGTCAGCATTGATAGTAAATTACACACACACACACACACTGTGCAACGCGGTTGTCACAAAGTAATGAGCAAGGCTTCGAATTCCTCAAAACTCTTCATGAGGCTTGATGTTCGGTACTGGGGGCAGGGGTAGAGATCAAAGGTGCTTCAGAGTATGTCAGAAAAGCCCAACACGTGC